TATCTGTGATCATAAATGATACTGAAAATGACCGAGAATATAAGTGTTAATCTAAGCTTTAATTTGTTTATATGAGATTTTTGATTTCATTTAGGATGATAATAAATAGAATTTAAAATTTTCAAAAGATTGTATTTTGAATATTTCAATACGATGTTTTTGATAAGAGTATATTATCAATGAGCAGAGTAAATATGTTAAATTTTAAATAAAATAAATTAGTTAGCTAAAGATGTATTTATTTTTAATCTTTTAAGAAATTGATTATAAATTTAGGATTAAATAATATTATAAGATATATCATAATTTAGTATATTTTTAGGGTTTGTCAATAATAATGCAATCATCATCTTAATTGCTATCACTTTCAACAGTTATTGTTTCTCCAATTTCATGATAAATTACTTAAGGCTAATCAATTTAACGACCTATTTTATTTTCTCTTTCAGGACTTAATCCTAAATCTATTTCAAAGTCTTATTAAAGTTTCTAGTTCACATAATTAAAAACTTCATTATCAACCAAAGTTGGTAATTCATCTTAGAAGTAAACACATAATACATATGTCCACATACAAATCATAATTTAATAAAATGGTTTTCTAGAACTACAATTTTATTGAACTATCATGCATTTATTAAATAATAAGTTAGCATAATATTAAAGAAATTCATAATCCAAACTATCTATTAATTTTTAAATTTCTTTATCAGGTAATTAATAATATATTACTTTTTTTTTTACTTCTTTAAAATTCAATTTTTCATTACTAAAAATAAGAATTAATCTTTTCATTCTCTCATTTTATCCTATTTCTTATAATTCATATGCAGTCTAAACAAATGCAGAATATCCAACATTACTATTTAAATGAATATCTGCCAATACATCTTTTGTAATATCTTCCTTCTACAAAGTAGTTAACATTACACTACAAGTAGCTTCATTTACAAAATAAGAATTATAACATTTAAAGTTTTTTCTCATTCTCAAAGATCCAGATGTAAAATTGATTTTTGGTCCACAGCAAGACTTTAATGAATAAATAACATCCAATATAAATTCATATTTTTTACCATAAATATTAACTGATTTTCCATTTTCATTTTCTTTTTTAAAGAAATCTAAAATAGGAAAAATAATATCTTTCATTTTCAATGTAAATATTGCCATTTATTCACAATAATAATTATCAGATATAAATATTGACTCTAATAAATCAGGACCATTTATTTCAATAGGAGGAAACCAAGTTGATTTAGAAAAATCTATTCTTATTTTTTTCTCTTCTTTTAATAATGGCATTCTACCAATATCACATTAAATTGTTGTATATTAATTTACCTTTTAAGCAATAAATAATCGAATAGCACTGTATTATTCATATAGTTTTATTAGTTGTAAATTTAAACAAGATTCATATTCTAAATATTTCCATTCTTCAGGCCATTATTATTATTGTAAATCTGATTCTAAAGTTGAACTTAATTCTTTCATTTTGCTCCAAAATTTCTTTCTTATTTCTTTACCTAATGAATCATCATAAAACACATCATATGCAACTCTTATCCAAAATTCAATAGAAGTTTTTCGATTTCTTACAAAATTACAAATACATATCTTAAAACATGGAGATTTTAAAGTTTAATTTATTATATATTCTAATCGTCTTTATTTATAGATTTCCCAATCTTTTAAAATTTATCGATCATTTTCTAGTTTTTTTTCATTTGGTTTCAAAACTACACCCATTATTTAATTATAAGTCTCTAAATCATTATGATAACAATCATCTAGATTTCTAGTTAACTATCTTAATTAAAAAAACTTCTTATTGTACATTTAAATTAATATTGAAGAAAGGTAAAATTATAAAGAACCATTTTAATAGTACAATTAATAGATGCCTTTTTAATTTTAATAATATCTTTGCTTAGAAATAAAAAAATAAACAAAAATTTTTATTGAATATTTTTAATAGAAATTAATTTATTTTTAGTTTTATGGATTTCCAAAGAAATTATACAATATATGATGAGTACAAGGCTGAAGAACTTGGATATAAAAATAAAATCTATAGAATTGCTCCAAATGTTTCTTAAGAGAGTCAAAATATATAATAAATTGCTCTATATATTCAAAGAAATTAAGTTAATGAGATGACTTTTAACAAATACAAAAATCTGAAATTTTTAAACATATTACAACCAAATAAGTATTTTTGTTCTGATTATGAACATTATCTTTTATATTTTGATTTTTTTAATCATCGCTTGAATTAAGAGAAATTAAAAAATATTAATAATTCAGAAGGATACAAAATTCTGCTTTAACTTGCTCTTAGTATATTATTTTATATTTATATTTAGCATTTGCTGAATTTTAACGAAGAAATTTTAATTGGCCATTAAACATTATTGAACATGTTTATTATATTGAAGGAATTGTTCATTTATCATTATTAGAATACGATTTCAATTATTTTGATTAACCTTAAGATTCTCTCATTAATTTCAAGAATTTTATTTGGAGATATTTTATTCCATAATTCCAGGATTTAAGATAATATTTGAATGTGTAGAATTTTAAAGAGATAATTGATTATTTATTTGAAAAAAATGGAAAAATCCATTAATAATCTTTTTTGGATCCGGAATATGAAAGATTGCTTAAGTATTTATTATAAGTTAATCAAATGAATTTAATATATAGTGGAAACTGTATTGTAAAGACCTTTACTAAACCAAATGTCTTTTCTTATAATTTTCCTAATTTAACAAATGAAATAGTTTACAAATAAACAAAAATATTTGGAAACGATATAGATCGATAATAAATTTTAAAATAAATAGACAGAGATATTGAATTGATGGAGTTATTTAATAATGATGATAATGTAGCGGTGTGCTTTACATATTTTCGAGTTTAAAATTTCGTGTTTTTACTTTCCAGAAAATTTGCTGGAACATTGGCTCAAGGATTCAAGATTTGGCCAAAAAAACAATAAACAGTTGAATCAATACGAAAAGATGTATATACAATTGCAGCAAGAGCTGCTAAATGTAAATTTATTTTTTATCATCATAGCATTAATATGCTTACATCAGAAAAATATAATTCATCGAGATCTAAAGCCTGAAAATATTTTTATAGATAATCATGAAATTAGTTTATGTTAAGCCTATGTTGCTGATTTTGATTGTTCTAAATAAATTTAAGATGGATATAATGTGGAATAGACAAAACAAGATAGTTGCTATACTTAAAAATATGATCCTCCTGAAACTAATTAAACTTTAAAATATGATATATTCTAGTTTGGTTTAATTATTTTGACAGTAGCAAATTTAGGAAAATATATCGGAGATGATAGAGGACCAAGAAATTTAAGAGAAGAAGAGTTTAATAATTTTTATAGTAGATAGGCTATTGAAAATAGTTTATCTTCAATAAATTATGCGAAAGACTTTCTAGATATTTTAGCTAAATCCTTACTTAGAGATCCAAATTAAAGACCTGATATTTAAGTTCTTTATGATTGTCTAAACGGCCTTAATATAACAAATAAAATTAAAATAGTTAAATCCAATACTCAACTATTTGAAGAACCATCAAATGTTCCAATTTTAAATTAGGAATCTGATACTGATTAATAGTAAAACAGATAAAGAATGCCTACTTATTAATAGCCAGGCTAAGCTAATACCAATAATTATAGTAAAATTAAAATTTTGAATGGTAATTAAAAATTCCCTTCAAATTAACCTCAGCAATAAGTTTACACAGATGTAAATACGCAATTGATAAAATCACAAAGTTAAAAATGTATTTAGAATAATTAAAATTAAAAAATCGATGATTCAAATCAATAATCTTAATAATTCCCAAATTAGAATCAATAATTTTAATAATTCCCAAATTAGAATCCATAATTTTAATAATTCCCAAATTAGAATCAATAATTTTAATAATTCCCAAATTAAAATCAATAATTTTAATAATTCCCAAATTAAAATCAATAATTTTAATAATTCCCAAATTAAAATCAATAATTTTAATAATATCAAAATTAAAATCAATAATTTTAATAATACCAAAATTAAAATCAATAATTTTAATATAACAGTAATTAAATTCTATAATACCAAAATTAAAATCTATAATTTAATCAATAATACCAAAATTAATATCAATAATGTTAATATAGCCGTAATTAAAATCAATAACTCTAATAAAACTAATTCTAATAGAAATGAATATGAATTATTTTAATCAATATTATAAAAATATTCAATGAATTAAATATTTTATTAATTATAATAATTAGTTATTGAATAAAAAGAGGCATAGGATAATTGAATAATTTATTTTCATTATGATTTATATTCTTAATTTATATTAGTAAAAGTCTATTTATAATTAGATTATTATTTCTTTTTTCTTAAAAAGACTTATTTAAAATGATTATATGATTATTAAAGTGAAACTATTAAATTTAAATGATTATAAAGAATTTGAATGACTTAAGATATTGAATGCTTTATTAATTAAGTAAATAAAAATGATTTACTAAAATACCTCTTGAAGAATCTAATAAAATTAAGCTTTTCAATGGTTTTTCTCATGAACATTTTTATTATTTTTTTAAAAAAACCATTTTAGATTATTCAGGAATATTAAAATAAATAGAAACGAAATAATGATTAAGTAATTTGATATTAATAAAACAACAAAAAATATGATGGAATTAGGAATAAAAAGAGATTTAAAATTTAAGAAATGGAGATTCTTTAGATTATGTTAAAAAAATTTCATAATTTAATTGATTCTTTATATAAGAGTATTAGATCATTATAATTTATAATTTTCATTTGTTTAAGTTCTTTCTGAAAAAGTGGTATTTAATTTAAAGTATTCCTCATTCAATTTTTCCCTTGTTTTTTACATTGCCTCCCTGGATGTCATAATCATTCTCATGACCATAAATGGATCTGATTCATTTTTAGCTATTTCAAATTCTTTCCTAGCACTCTTTCTGATAATGTCTCTCCTATTTATATTAACAAGTATATTTTACCAAATTTCTCCATTTTTGTTAGCCCAATCAAATTCAATTGAAAACTTTAAAATATCTCTATATAATCTTAATGCTTCTTTATTCTGAGTTTTTTTTGCAGCTGCTCCAACTTTAAGTTTATTGAATGGATTATCAAAAATATGAGATAATATACTTTTTTAATTCATTAATTTTAATTATTGATGAGTGATCAATTTGATGATGGTGATTTTGTTGATGGAGAAGAGATTTAAGATAACAAATAAAATAATTCTGAATAGATAAACAATGATCAATAAAATCATTCTTAAAAATTTTAAGAAATGGATGATGATGAAGAATAAATAATTATTACAGATGAAAATTTAAATAATTCATATGAAAAATAACAAAAAATGCTAAATAACCAACCTCTAATATAATCTTGTGAATAAATTTAAGAAGTTGAATTACAAAGTTCAAAAAGCATGGAAAATTAAAATTTATAAAATATTGAATAATAAGAAGGTAATAATTTATAAGTATAAATTTAAAATGATGAAATACAATAACCAATCTAAACTAATAATAATGAGACAGAATAATAAAATAATTTTATAGATGAAAATGACTAAATAATAAAAATTGAAGATGATGATTTTTAGGATGGAGAAGAAATATAGATTGAAAATGTAGAAGAAAATGTTAATGATCATGATTAAATGAAATAATCATAAGAAAAATAGTAAGAATAATTTCTAAATAATAATAATGATAGAGAATCAGAAGAAGAAGAAGAGATTATAGAATTAGATAAAGAAGACAATGAAAATAAAGAGGATAAAGAAAATGAAGAAGATGGATAGTAGATTGATGAGGATGATTTTATAAGTGGAGAAGAGATTGAAGTTTATAAAGAAAATTAAGAATTAATATAAAATTAAGATGATAATGATGAAGAATTTGAAGAAGGAGAATTAATTGAAGAATAAGAAAATAATAATTTAATTAAAAATACATAAGAAAATGATTAAACAAACATAAATATGGTAAATTGATCATCAATATTTAGAGAATGCCAATTGTTAATAAAAATTAAATTGACTAATTATATAGTGAATTATGTTATGGATTTTAATGTCCTTTATAAAAGAATTTTGAATTTGATTAAGTGTAATAATTTTTGATGATAAATAGTCCTGCTCAATAGTTTAGTTCAATAGAATCTTGTTTGGATAAAAATAGTGTGAATTATCTTCTTGAAAGAGAGTAATATGTATTAAAATTATAAAAGATCATAACATTATCAAGGTTAAAAGGATATAAATAATATGCCAACTCCATCTAAAATTAATATTAATGAGACAGGAGTATCATAAGAATTAAAGAATGCCTTTCTTGATTAAATAAAGTTGTATACATTAGTATGGACTAAGTATCAACCATATATTGAGTATTGATAATATTAATGATTAGGATGTCTGACCAATACAAATTTGTAATTGAATATCCTACATTTGAATATGTAGATGTTACTTTGGATAGATCACCAATTCCAAGAGGAGGAGGCATTTCTCAATTTTAATTAGCTGATTTAGGAAAACCTGGATTGTAGGATATTTTAGATTTAATTCCTGACTATTCTAAGTTATTAGAGTAAACTTTCTCAAATGAAACATGAAAGTTGTTTTATATATAGATATATATTAATATTTTAGTTTTAATTAAAAATAAATTAATGGATTAGCATAAACTGTAATTCAAAGAGGATCAAATAATGAAAGTAATTAATTTAAAATATTATTTAGCCTTATAAATAAGAAAGATTTAATATTAAATAATTTTAAAGAGAATTAGAAATTAATATTCTCTCTAAAACAGATGAAAAAATAGTTTTTGAAATGATAAATATTGATGCTCCTATTGCTAATTCTTTAAGAAGGATAATGATCGCAGAAGTATATTTAAATGTAATTAAAGATTCCAACAATGGCAATTCATAAGGTTTAAGTAATCTAAAATACAAGTATTATACCAGATGAGGTCCTAGCACATAGATTAGGGTATTTAAAAATAAAACATAATAGATTAATTCCTATTATAGCAGATCCTTTGTAATTCATAGAAAAAGATGATTAAGAAGAATATAATGAGTTAAATTCAATTGATTTTACATTATTTGCAAAATGTGAGAAAAAACCAAATTGTAAACAAGATGATCCTATTGAAAATCAATACACTAATACAACAGTATATTCAAGCAGTTTAATTTGGTAACCAAAAGGATAATAAGCAAAATTATTTGCTGCCAATCCTATTCGTCCTGTTCATTCCAATATAATCATAGCTAAATTGAGAGAAAATCAAGAACTTAATTTAAAATTGATTTGTGAGAAAGGTGTAGGTAAAAGACATGCTAAATGGTATTTTATAAATATTTATTAAATTATAGGTCTCCTGTCTGTACAGCATTCTATAAATTAATGCCATCTATTACAATCAAAAATTAATTAGATCCTTAAAGATAAGAAAAGTTGCTATCTCTATGTCCAATGAAAGTATTTGGAATAAAAGGAAATTAAATTAAAGTTGTTAATCCAAGAAATTGTACTACTTGTAGAGAATGTATTAGAGAAGCTAATGGATTTGACAAGGACATAGAATTAAATAAAATAGACAATCACTTTATTTGTAATCATAATTAAAATTAAGTTTAGTCTCTATTGAAAGTGTAGGATAGTATGAAGCTAAAGATATTATGTTACAAGCAATTGATATTTTTAGATCAAAAGTATAATTGTACATTAAAGAATGATTTTTTTATACATTAAAATTAATTTTTATATCCACAACATTTATTGTGAATTTCAAATTTATTTGCAAATTTCTCTATATTTACATTTGTTAATATTTATTGGTTTTGTTTCTACTACTTTTTTCAGTTAAAACGAAGTAATTCGATATGAAAAGTTTTCAAAATACAATATGATAGTATTGCAAATCTAATTATATAGTACTAGGTAATCAAGCAAAATAATTGCAGCTTCTTCTCGAGGTTCAGGATTCTTTGTTTAAAATCGATTTATACTTAAAAATCAGTATAATTATGTAATTTAATTGATAAAATTGTTTTGAGTTCAAAAATAGACTATTTAAGAATAGGCAACATCAGAATATAATGAGCTTATATTTCTTGTTCACTTCTATCAAAAACAGCAACAAATTATTAATCTTGAATTAATATTTAATAAATATTTTTATTATCTTGTATTCTCATCCACTAAAGATAAATACGAAAAGCTTACCAATCTTTCAAAAGATTTTGTAAAATTATTGTAAAACTCATTAATATCTGTTTAATATTATTTTTTAAGATCTGTATTTAAAATATATTAATGAAAATTAACCAATCCCAAAGTGTTGAGATTTGATTCCATCATTAATTTAAATTGTTTTGTTTTAAATAGAGCATGTTTAATAATAAAATAGAGTAATTTTTCTTACAAACAATTCTAATTAAAGAAATCAAAATGATCAATTAGTTTAGCTACCCTCAAAATGAGTTTAAGTAAATAAAAAATGTTCTATAAAATTAAATCATTTTGTATAAAATCTTTAGTAGGGTTTTAGATGGAATATTAAGGTTTTGGAGAAGGATTGAAATAATTTTTATTTGAGTTTCTATCAATACCATCTCTAGGACTTAATCTTCTTTTCCACTCATTATCTTTTTATTATTATTAATATTATGTTTAGCCTCTTGTTATATGAAAAGATCCACTTATTTACAATAATCTTGGTCTTTCATGAAATAAAGGATGTTCAAATAATTAATTAGCTGATAATCTTTTATTAATATCCACTTATAAACATTTTATAATGAAATCTTTAGCATGGAGTGATAATAATATTTTCTTTGGGAATTAAATAGGAGTGGTTGTAATTTATTTAATAAACTCTTTCTCTGTTTCTGCTACCCAAGGAGTGCAACCTTTTTAATAAACCAAAAAAATACCACAAAGTGTTTAATAAAACATAACCCCAATGCTCCAAATGTCACTTTTTTCAGAATATTAATTATCCATTAAAGCCTATGGGCTCATATATAGTGTTGTACCAACATTGTAATACACTTTCTCTTGAACACCCATAATTTTAGAAAATCCATAATCTGCGATTTTTGGTATGCCATCGCTTAACAATATATTTGAAGGTTTAATATCTCTATGAATTATACCTTTTCTTATTTGCTCTAAAAAACCATTAATTATTTATTTGAATAATTAAGTTGCTTCATTTTCTTGTAAATGATTTTTCTTCTCAATTAATTACGATAAATCTCCTGTTTAAAATAACAATAGATTCTTATACCTTAATTACAAAACTCAGTTATTATATAAGTATTTTAATGTGAACGTATGAATTGATACATTTTAACTATGTTTGGAGAATCCAATAATCCTAAAGCATAGATTTCTTAATTTAATAACATCAATTCAACTTCATTTTTTAATTATTTCATGTTGCATACCTTAGCTTAGACAATTAAATACTTTTATTGCTACTAAATCTCCATTTAAATCATTTACTCCTTTGTAAACTTAACTCTTATAGCCGGAACCAATTAAATCAGATTGTAAATAACTAAAATGACTTATTTGAATTCTAGGAAATTATTGCATTTATATTATTTAATATTATTCTTAAAGTATCAATGGTTTATTGCGTTTATTCGGGCAGGATTCAATTATTAATACGCAAAACGTAAGATATTATAATAACAAATCAAATAAATGAGTTAAGACAAAAAGTCTTTTTTTGATTTTACTTCTCCTTTTGAGTTAGAGAGAAAAATAGAAATTTTTTAGTAATCCCACAAAGAGCAGTTCTTTGTTCCAAAAAAAGACAAATTAAAAATGAAGACACTAGTTTTGTAAAGAAACTATCTTATCAAATTCAACTAAAAGGTAAAATATATTACTAAAGCAAGCGTAATTTATTAAAGTACTTTAATCTGACTAATGCATTACTTGAATTTGTTACTCATCCAAAAATGGGTCTGGGCATTTCCCTAACTAAAAATGGTGGAAATTTTATATTTTATGGTGATGTTGAATTATGGTTTACTTATATAAAGAAATGGTGTATCTAAGCAAATTTTTCTAAAGAATACTCCATCATAAAAATGATTGGAAAAGGCAGTTTTGCTAAAGTACTTTGAACTATGGATTTTTAGGTTTTTAAAATTTAAAGAATTAGTGATAGAAAAGAATTCGCAGTTAAAGTATTTGATAAATCGATATTGAAATGTTAAGATAGGCCAGCACTTTTAAAAGAAATAGAACTTCTTAGGTTAATGAATCACAAAAATGTTGTAACTATTTTAGAAACTTATGAAAATGATCAATATATCTATTTAGTCTAGGAGTTATATTAAGGGGGAGAATTACATCAAGAATTAAAGAAGAGTAAAACCTTTTCTGAAAGAGGAGCTTTTATAATAATTTAATAAGTTGTTGAAGCTTTAATATATGTCCATTATCAAGGAATAATTCATAGAGATATAAAACCAGAAAATATTATTTTGAAAGAAGATGGAATAATTGATTAAGTGGTTTTAGCTGATTTTGGATTAGCAGACTATTATAGAAAGGATTGTAAATATATGTTTACTAGATGTGGAACACCCGGTTACGTTGCACCAGAATTATTATAAGATAAAATTTATGATCATAAAGTTGATGTATATAGTTGTGGTGTTTTACTTTATTATCTTCTAATGGGAAAAGGACCTTTTGATTCTAATAATTATGATTAAACAGTAAAAGCAAATTTTAATGGATAAGTTGATTTGACATAAATATATTTTACAAATGAATGTCTTGATCTTTTAAGAGGTATGCTAGATCCAAACCCTTAAAATAGATTCACTTTTGACCAGGTTAAGTAAAGCTCATTTTTTAAAAAACATTTATTTAATAATAAATAAAGGAATAGTTAATCAAGTTTAGGAAGCGTTAATATTCAATGTGATTCATAAAATTAATCTCCATAATATTCACCATATTAAGAATAAAAATATTCACTCGAATAAAAAAAGAGGATTGTTTAATATAGTTCTCCACAATAATCACCTTTTAAACTCGATTCACCCAATTTATCTCCATTGACAGATCCTTTGCAAAAAATCCCCAATTTATAGAGAGTACCGATTTAGATATGAAATTAATATATATAAAAATAAGTTATTTTTATAAATTAATAATGTATAAATCATTTTTTGATAATTAAGATTAGGGGTTTTGGTCATCTCAAAAAATTAACAATAATAACACCAAAGTTATTGAAGGTTTATTTTATGTGCCAACAAAAAGCGTAAATTTATATGATTTAATCTCTCTAAAATTATAAGAAAAATGTCTAATAATGAAAGATGGAAATGTATGTATCATCACTATACATAGACTGAATTATATGCAGACATAGAAAATGCTTCTATTATGAGAGTAGAACAATAAGGAATTTGTTTAATAAAAAATTCGATTGAATTCAATTTTTATGGAAAAGTTGATGACTTTTTTATCAATCTCAAAAAATATTGCATCTAATTAAATTTTTAGTAAAAATATCATCTTCTCTCACTCATAGGGCAAGGTAACTTTGCAAAAGTATTGATTAATTTAATTACAGGTATTTAAAGCCAGAAATAAACATAATTTAGTTGAAAATGCAGTAAAAGTGTTTGAAAAAACTTCATTTTCTTAAATGACAGATAGATTAGCTCTATTAAAAGAGGTTCATATCTTAAGATAATTATAACACTCGAATATTATCGAATTACATGAAGTTTTCGAAACTAAAACTCAAATTTTTCTCGTATTTGATTATTTAACAGGAGGTGACCTCACTAATTTCATCAACAACAATTAATTACTTGAAGAAGAATAAATAAAAAAAATTATGATGGAACTTCTTAATGCTTTATTCTATATGCATTCGAAAGGTATATTCCATAGAGATATAAAACCTTAAAATTTGTTGCTTCGTAAAAAAGGTCAAATTACTGATCTTGTTATTGCAGATTTAGGATTAGCTGATTATTATAGAAAAGATGGCAAATATATGTTTACTAGATGTGGCACTCCTGGTTATGTTGCTCCTGAAATCTTATTAGATAATCCTTATGATTTTAAAGTAGATATTTATAGTTTAGGAGCATTACTCTATGTTATTCTAACAGGGAAGCCTCTCTTTAAAGGAGCGACTTAAACAGAAACTATCTAATTAAATATTAATAATAATTTAGACTTTTCTAATACTTAATTATCCAAAACCTGTATTGATCTACTTAAAAATATGTTGAACAAAAATCCTTTGTTTCGATTTTCAATTTTACAATGTAAATCTCACTAGTGGTTTTAATAAGAAACTCAACCTATATTTATTCGTATAAAGCATTCAATTAGATCTAGACTTTAATTAAATCTAGATATCAATAGTGATGACAGTAGTCCTCATAGTTCAAAAAAAAATTAAAAATTATTTCAAATTAAAACTAATTTATTCTCTCCTAGATAAAATGGAAGCTAAACTTCTAGTTTTCAAAAATTATGTAAACAGAGTGGAATCATATGCAAGACAGAACCATCAGAATTGAAATCAACATTTAATAAACTTAAATTATCTAAGTAAAGATAATCTTTAAAATATTGATTATCTTTACTTCGATAATTTATTATAATCATCTATAAATTTATTATTTTTGATTCAAAAAATCATTTATTCATCCGCATTATCAAATTTGATAAATTTTATAAATGTATAAAGTTAAGTGCCATCATCAACTTTTTTTGATGTTTCTAAAGGCTCTTTATGGCTGAACACAGCTGCTTCTCGTAATCTAAGATAACTTCTATATTTATTCTTCCAAATATCAAACATTAAAAATCAAGACTTTATACTTGCAAAGTCATTTTATTTTCGAAAGAAATAATTATAGAACTGTTTAATTTATTCTTAATGTGAAAATAAAGTTGAAAACATCTTAAATGCAATCATTTGTGAAATTGAGTAATCAAATTTTAGAGCAGGGATTAAAATTATTTAGGCAGGATAAACTGAAGAATTTTATGGAACGATTATGAATTATTTGTCAAATTTTATGCGTTTAATAGGATTTCAAAAGTAAGTATTAAATTATTTCATTAATTGGTTAAGGAACATTTGAAAAAGTATTAAATTAATTTAAAAATCTTAGGTTATAAAATGAAATCTATAACTACTCAAATAGGCTGTTAAGGTTTTAGAAAAGAAAACCTTGAAAACTTATTAAAAGTATATTTAAATTATAATGAACTTTAAATAGTCCATATTTTGAATTATTATCAAATTTGTCAGAAAAAAATTTAATCTATTGTAATTTATATTGAATTAGAGCTTAATAGAATATCAGAAAAGTTGCCCTTAATTATTAATAAGCCTTTCATAAATTTAGAACAAATAAGTATTCAATAACTCTCAATAAAACACCTATTTGCAATTAGAAAAAATTCAATTATAGACTAAAAATAAATACTAATACAAATTTAGATAAATTTTTACAATTAACATCAAGAACTTTAAATATTTAATAAAAGCCAATTAACAATATGAAAAAAGAAACTATTTGAGGAGGTTTTAGGAAAATGTAAACTTTCTCTCATCGATACTCATAAGTTTTGCCAATCAAAACTTTAAAGAGATCAAACCATTTCTATGATATATATTGTGAATTATCAATAATATATGTAATTGTATTAACTGAAAATAATATGAATTATATTAGTAATTGATTTATGCTTTATTTGGATTATTATAATTCAAGGAAACTTTTTATGAGCATATTCTAATATATCATAATGATCAAAAGCAAATGCATCTTTACCCATTTTTAATATATCATCAACATTAATCCATTAAGCTGTTTTAGCATCATCTGCTGCTATAGGTTCAGCATCTTCTGGTACTTCAATTTTATAAACTATAGAAACATAATGACCTCTAGGATCTCTATCTGGGGATCCTCTTACATCAATTAAATCAACACTTAAGCCTAAAATTCCTGTTTCTTCATTAAGTTCTCTTAAACAGCATTATATTGGATCTTCACCATAATCTAAATGTCCTCCTGGAAATGCATATCTTCCTATAAATGGTTCATGTCCTCTTGTAATCAATAAGACTTTTTTAACGTCATTTTAGAGTTTTCTAAAACATACTGCATCACATGCCAATTAAGGTCTTTATTTCATTAAAAATTAAATAATTATAGAAAATCATTAATAATATAGGGTGGGGGTCTTTGTTTAATTTAATAATGACAATGATTCATAATTGAAGCAACAAATATCCAACGATATATCATTTTTCTTTTTGAATCTTGATTTCAAAACCTAAGTGATATTATCTTTTTTATCTTGAGGTGGACTTTTTATTCTATACCAAAAATTATTAGTTTTCCTCTTAGCTTATTTTCTATCACTATTAAAATAACCACATTAAGTTTCATTTGGTATAACTTTATTTGTTTTATTTACATCCATTGAATTTTATCTAATTTAGCTATTTTTATTTAATTAGATCTCTAAACTATTTTATCTAAATCTCGTTTAAGGTCTTGTTAAACTTAATTTAGGTGTTGTNTAATACAAATTTAGATAAATTTTTACAATTAACATCAAGAACTTTAAATATTTAATAAAAGCCAATTAACAATATGAAAAAAGAAACTATTTGAGGAGGTTTTAGGAAAATGTAAACTTTCTCTCATCGATACTCATAAGTTTTGCCAATCAAAACTTTAAAGAGATCAAACCATTTCTATGATATATATTGTGAATTATCAATAATATATGTAATTGTATATTAACTGAAAATAATATGAATTATATTAGTAATTGATTTATGCTTTATTTGGATTATTATAATTCAAGGAAACTTTTTATGAGCATATTCTAATATATCATAATGATCAAAAGCAAATGCATCTTTACCCATTTTTAATATATCATCAACATTAATCCATTAAGCTGTTTTAGCATCATCTGCTGCTATAGGTTCAGCATCTTCTGGTACTTCAATTTTATAAACTATAGAAACATAATGACCTCTAGGATCTCTATCTGGGGATCCTCTTACATCAATTAAATCAACACTTAAGCCTAAAATTCCTGTTTCTTCATTAAGTTCTCTTAAACAGCATTATATTGGATCTTCACCATAATCTAAATGTCCTCCTGGAAATGCATATCTTCCTATAAATGGTTCATGTCCTCTTGTAATCAATAAGACTTTTTTAACGTCATTTTAGAGTTTTCTAAAACATACTGCATCACATGCCAATTAAGGTCTTTATTTCATTAAAAATTAAATAATTATAGAAAATCATTAATAATATAGGGTGGGGGTCTTTGTTTAATTTAATAATGACAATGATTCATAATTGAAGCAACAAATATCCAACGATATATCATTTTTCTTTTTGAATCTTGATTTCAAAACCTAAGTGATATTATCTTTTTTATCTTGAGGTGGACTTTTTATTCTATACCAAAAATTATTAGTTTTCCTCTTAGCTTATTTTCTATCACTATTAAAATAACCACATTAAGTTTCATTTGGTATAACTTTATTTGTTTTATTTACATCCATTGAATTTTATCTAATTTAGCTATTTTTATTTAATTAGATCTCTAAACTATTTTATCTAAATCTCGTTTAAGGTCTTGTTAAACTTAATTTAGGTGTTGTTATTTATTTTATAGCTTTTTCAAAATTAGTGACATTACTATATAGAATTCTTTGTTTCTTCACTTATTCTCTTCTACTTTGTAATTAACTATAAAATTCTTAATCATTTTAAGAGGATAGTTCTCTTCTTCTTTAACTCAAATAAAACTTTCGCCTTGTGTCTAAAAATTAATCGAATAGATACACTTCGACAAGTATCCTTTAATAATAATAAAGCGTTAGGGTTGTTATTGTAAAATTCCCATTCATTATCAGATAAATTTGCTTCCTTATTTACTTAATCTTAACTTTTATTAGTTGGTATACAATTTGTAAGTGATAAATTATTACTATTTGTAAGTTTTCTTTAAGTGGCTCTTAAAACTTTCCTAATCTCATCCCATTACTAATGTATTAATTGTACTTTGACACTCATTAGAAAATATAAAAATAATAATATATTTATGTAAAATATCGAAATACATTCTTCTAACGATTAATTGACCCTGAAATATCAACTTAATATTCAAGTTATTAGTCAAAAAAATGTAATTCTTTGAATTTGTTAATGAAAAATTGTTAACAACCATTAACCAAAATAACATACAAACACATTGCCCTTCCCTAATTATACTTCAAATTCAATTAAAAAATTTTTAGTCATCTTAATACCTTCTAAGAATCTAATTTCAAATCAAGTACTTTTTAAGAAAAATTAAAAAATGATAAATTTGAAAGTTATCATGTGGAAGATTTGATTGATGATTTAGAAAAACAATATCTTAAAATATTAATATGATTAATTATTTATCATCCTTTCATCAATAAAAAAAATTCATTTTATTTTACAATTACATTTTTTGTTAGATAAAATTACAGAGTATTTTTTTCTTAGATATTTTTTATCTACTTAAATATTTTTATATTTTAGGATTATATCAATATTTTTATTCATGATATTTCGTTTAAAAATATATTAAAAGAAGAATATTTAAAAAAAATGATGAATAAGAGTTATATTAAAAATAATGATAAAAAGAATGCTCAAAATGATTGTTTCAATTGAAAAAATTTATTTAGCAGACAATCCTAATATTCGTAATTTGATGTATAAAAAAATTAATTTTTAATTGTTTAAGTTCAATATTATTTATAAGACTCAAATTTTTCTTATAGAAAATTAAATATTTAAATATTGGATTGATAAAAAGTAGAATCAAGTTTTATTTAAATTATCGATTAAATTATTGAACTAAGAAAGATAAATAAATTAGAATGGATATTCCAGTCATAATGTGGAATAAATAAGTTGATAATTATCATTAATTATTATTAATTAGCATTCATAAGTACATATTAAATCTTGAATTTCAATTAAATAAAATAATTAATAATAATGTCTGACCCAATCCCTCCTCCTGATTCTGCCTACTTCTTTGGATATATTGGAGTGGCATCTGCAGTCGTTTTTGCAAGTAATATTATATTAAATTTTGAGATTTGGGATCATCGTATGGTGCCACAAAATCTGGAGTTGGAATTTGTTCAATGGGTGTATTGAAACCAGATTTAATCATGAAATCTGTCATCCCAGTTGTCATGGCTGGTATTTTGGGAATTTACGGGATGATTGTTGGTGTTATTTTACAAGGAAAAGGTATTAATTATTTTATATAAATTAAATAGTGGCAAATTGTTCATCTGCACAATAAGGATATGCATATTTATCTGCTGGATTATGTTGTGGATTGAGCTCATTAGTAAGACTTATTAATTTTACAGATTTTAGGCTGCAGGATTATCAATTGGAATAGTTGGTGATGCAGGAGTCAGAGCTAATGCATAATAAGACAGAATTTTTGTAGGAATGATTTTGATTTTGATTTTTGCTGAAGCTTTGGCATTATATGGGCTTATTGTTTCCTTGATTTTATCATAAACTTGAGAATGAGTATTATAATTATTCAAACACACAAATATAAAGATAAATCCTAATTAAATACATATCCAATAATATAGAAAAATTGTTCATGATTCTTTTGATTTAATTTCACCTACAAGAAGCAAATTATATATTAGCTTAACGTTTTCCTTAAGATTGAATCTTCTTATCTAAATCCATATTCTTAATAACTCTTCCAAAAACGATATAACTACCATCCAAATTTATAAAATATCAATTATTATATTACCCAATAAGTTTCAGCAGTTATTATAAGAATTAACTACCATTTTTATTAGGTTCAAAATTGCCATAGATATAGATCCTATTTCATATTCCAATTGAAAACTTTCATCATCAAATTTACTTCCATATATTCAAATACTTGCAGTTCAATTTCCATTTATGAAATCGCCTCTTTTAATCTTAAAATTTGGAACAATTTTATGGAATGTAGATTCTACATAATCTAATCTTTTTTCTTTTGTGCATAATGCTCTGAAATTCTCAACTATTTTAGGAACAACCTATCCAAATAATCCTAATGTTATTTTATCTTCATTCTATCCTCCATCAATTCATACTCCTATTTTAATTTATCTTTTCATATGATAAAGATGAGAATACAGCAAAAACATAAAGCAGACAATTCTTAATTTCATCTGATATTATTATTTATTTATTATAATGGAATATTTCAGTTCTTTACATACTTTTTCTAAAATTATTAAGTATTTTAGAATCTGAAAATTTCTATCCTTAGTAAAAAACCATAATATTTTTCTATGATTGTTATTAATAAAGGTTAACTTAATGCTAAAAAATTACTCTCTAACATTGTCTTTTAAGTTATATATGTAATTTGAATAACTAAATCCATCAACTCTATTATACTATAACAACAAAAATGAATTAACTGAAACTGCCATAAATAATAATATAAATATATATATGAAGCCCAGTAAAACTTTATTGAGAAATTTTCATCATAAATTTTTTTAAAAAAAGGCTGATTTTTGGATTTACTTGTTAAAAATTATTTACAATTAAAAAATACTAATTTTACAAATAAAACATTTTTTATATATTTTACTTCCAAAATCGAAATCATTAAATAATTTGATTACTTTAATTAATAACTATAGTAATTTTTATGGCAAATGTAAGATTATCATAAAAATATCTAAAATATTTGGCCTCTTTTAAATAATTTTACAGATATTTTCTTGAATCTTAATTTTTCTTCAATCAATAATTTTAAAATTATAATATAAAGTAATTTTAAAAAATAAGCAAACACATTCATCTTATAAAAAAACCTTAAAGTTATTTATTAAATAGTTACTAAACTTATTCACAATATTCATTTATACAAGATATATTCATTCAAAATAGGCTAAATCCATTAAAAACAAACAACAGCAAATCATTCATTTAAGATTTAGAATTTAATTCATATTTAAAATTTTAGTTAATACAATTCAATGAATTCTTATGAGTAATATTCTTAAAAATAATTACACATCATGAGAACTGTATTTTTTAAGCTAGAAAGCATTCTGAAATCATGAAATCTCCATTTTTGCAATACTTAAATTATTAAAATAAACAATTATATTTAGCTCATCCTATTAGAATTTTTTTCTTGATATAGTACCATAATAAAGAGGAGTGCTTAAAAAGAAATTAAAATATATGAAACCAAAAGCTTTTTCTATTTTATAAGAAGCCAATGTAGAAATTTATGTTATAATTTAAAGTTTTTCTTTTTTTAAAATTCTATTAAAAATATTAATTTAATTCTAGACATCGTAGAAGGAGAAGATCTTTTTTATAAATCTAATCAAAAGATTACCTTCTTAGAAAGTTGTTTTAAAATAAAATAAAATAATTCTTAAGAACTTTATAAATTATAATTAAGCATTAAGAATTAATTATATATTTCTAGTATAATTTATTAACTTTTTATTAGTTTAAAATCATTAATAGAGATTATTCATCTCATCAAATTTTGATAAGGATACTTTGAGTTAATTGGCTAATGCAAAATTAAGTTTAAAAAATAAAAATTGAACGAATATATTTACAATTACTATAAATTTAATATTTATTTTTAGACTGAGATTCCAGTTCAATTTAACAGAGAATGAAATTTAACTTATTAGTTTGTGATGAGAATGAAAGAAAAAAAATTATTTATACATATTAGTGATTATTTTGTTTTTCTTTCTCTTTTTTTCTGAAGTTTTTTTATTCCTTTAAAGTTCATTCATAGTCTTTTAGTTTTTCCACCAAATACTCAATTACTAAAACAGGTTTGTCAAACCTTTAGCCTGAAGACTTTCTTGAGTTTTCTTCTACTGACAATATGTCGTTTAAATTGAAGTCTTCTAGACTTTCTAAGGAAGGACTTGGAAGAGGTCTTTGATAAAAAATATCAAAATACCTAGTCTTTTAAGGAGATGATGGAGTAAGTGATTAATTTGAGCTGAAAAAGGATTAGTTGGAATCCATATGATTGTTATTCTTTTATTATAAAAATATTTATTAATTTTCAAATTGAAATATAACAATTTAAATTTGTATTTCATTTTTTTATTTATGATGATATGATTGCCTCTATTACATTTAAAGATTTAAAATATTCAAGTAGGATTTAAATTCTATCTTAAGTTCTGGTAACTTAAATCATTTATAAAAATAACTTTAAATATATTACTAATAAAATATTTAGTAAAAATCAAATGATAATTTCAAAATTCTTAATGACAAAAATAATGCTATTTTCTTTTAGTATACTAAATAATTCAAAATTAATTTCTAATCCAATTTTATTCCAACAATGATTAGAGAGAATTTGTCAAAAACTTTGGAATAATTAACAGTTGAACTTTTCTTGAAAAAAACTAATTGCAAATAATCAGTAGTTAATTTAGTTAGGAAATATTGCTCAATATAAATTTAAACTAAATTATTGGTTTTCCATGAATAAAAATATTCTTTATTATAATAAATAAATCATTGTTTCTTTTTTTATTTTAACATATTTTAGAAAATTATTTTTTTGCATAATTCTAATAGATAGAGATGAAGATCTAATATAAAAAGTTTAATGAAGATTGATATAGTTTAGTTGATGGATAAAAAATTAACTTCATTTGTATTCTTTATCAATCAAACTTATATAGGTAAAATTAATTTTAAAAGAAGAAGAATAATTATAATTATAATTATAATTATAGATTATTTGTTTAATTAATTTTAAAATTATATTTATTTCAATAATTGAAATGGTAGAATAGTTTAAGTTTTAGCAATATTAAAAAAATAAAAAATCGATGCCTGTGAGACTCGAACTCACGCGGGAAATCCCAACGGCTTAGCAGGCCGCCGCCTTAACCACTCGGCCAAAGCATCTAACTTAGTAATATTATAAAGCATAATTATTTATAGTATAATTCATAAATCAATCTTTAATTTCTTGTAACTGATTAATATACTCTAATTATTAATTTTTATTTAATTCATACGATTTTATTTTACACTTACTAATTTAATTTTTTATACGACATAGATAATTGGAGTCGGTATTTTTGATCTCTAAGTTTCCAATATCTATCCATTGAAAATCTTATATAATTTTTTCTTGTATATTTAGTTCTACAAAATGGACAGTTTTTCTATCTTAATAACCATTCTTAGAGATAAATTTAATGAAAAATCTAAAGCAAGGAGTCCCACAACAAATCATTTGTAATTTATTATTATTTTTCTTCATTTATTCTTAACAAGCAGAATATTCTTCAAATTATGATAATCCAGAATAAGCAGTAATAAATTAAT